CATAGAATTGAATTGAAAGAGGGATAAAAACATATGGGCATGTATCTGTGTGTTACTTTGGTTTGTTGGCCATCGTAGATATTTTCTCTTCTTTGGCAGCTTCATCCCTAAGGCATTTCTTGCTAGTCACTGACTGAGTCATTTTTCTGCTTGTGAGCAGCTGTTGAGCAACATAAGCCTCATGTTACAGCTGCCTTTATTTCCCTCTGCCCCAAGCACTGGTCTGGGATGAACTGAACTGGTAAATGGGCTTTGAACTCACAGCTCACTGACAGTAGTTAAAGCTGATTCACGACTGGACAGACCTCTTTCTCCGTGATAAGGTAGGTAACATGGAGACAATAATGATAGCATGGAGAGAACAAGCCTGTGTTTCTGTCCTGTGGCCTTGTCTGGGCCTGTTGATTTCACTCGGCTGTAACTCAGCCCAGCTGTTTTCTCAGCTCATGGAAAATCACTGCAGAGAGTGAGGGATCACAAAGAAAGCAGCGTGACTGCAAGCAAAGCTGGCCACCTTATTGTTGACAGTTTTTAACACAGGGGAAGATATTGACCATAGCAGTAGGTGCATATTTAGACGTACTGTATGTTGTTTTGGGAGCAAGGTTCAGTGTGCCCCAGCCAAGAAAGGTGGAAACTGGTCTGAGTTAGTCACTAGTAGATGATTACATAGTTATTTAATGAACTATCAATATACTACACAAAATTCACAGAGTGATTTTGCATAGTATGTGACCAAATTTGAGAAAAAATTTGAGTTATACCTGAATCCATGACACGGCAGTGTTGTTAGGCTACAGTTTTTGTCAGCAGGCAATCTGGTAGGTTGCATTGCAATATGGCCAAGAACTGCCCGATTTGACAAGAAAAGGCTGTGACATGCAGATTGACCAATCACAAACTGTTTTGCTAGGCCTTTCACTATAAAAAAATTAGCTGATGATTATCATATATATAATTGCAATCAGTACTTAAAATTGCCAAATATAATTATCATATGTAGAGTCAAGCAAAACTTACATACTTCTCAAGACATGCTAACATACTGTTAATATACGCAAGCATACATGCTAACATTGTTAGCATTTGCTACCCAGAGAACAAATGAGCAAACATTACTCAATGCTACCTTTTAAACAGGTTATGGCAACAAGTTAGAACTTTTATTTTTATTTTAATAATTGCATTTATTATTTTCTTTTATTTTCATTTATTTGCTTCAACCCAACCGATGCACTCAAGTCACATTCTCCTTCTTGCAACATAGAAAATTAATATAGAAAATAGTTGTGGTCATCTTACTGGTCAGCATATAGGGATAAATAAGCTGAAAGATCAGACATACAATAATTCGTACGATAATTGTGACAGAATTTGTTTTTGCTTGATGCGTGGGGCCTGACTATTGTCAAGACAGTGCAACAAAAACAGACCCACGTAAAAGAGAAATGCTATTCAATGGCTCTTGGCCACCAGGAAATAACATGTCAACTTCAGACAAATCTCTTGAATGATATTTACAGATTGGAGGCTTAGTTATATGTTGTTTTTTTATGTACGTATATGGTGTATGTAACCACAAGTCACTAAAAATGCTTGTCTGTACTTTGGCTTCACAATTCAGTGTCTACAACAGTTTTTGCCTATTAAAAAAAATTCTATAATGTTTTTATGGAGGCCAAGCAAATGAAGACAGTTTCTCCCTCATGTCATGGTATCTGTTACTTAGCATGGCTGTTTACATCTCTACATGCTCTCAAGTTACCAGTTCATCCTGTAATCCTGTACTGATCCTGTTAGTGGACAGAGATATTTGCACCCTTCCGTAACTGTGCATTTGTATAAAGTGCTGCAGTATGGGTAGTGTGGATGTAGTATAACTGGCCTGGATACAGTGCTCCAGTGTGGACTTCATTACAATGAAGGGGGACAATGCTGTGTTTAGACCTATCAGGATCATGAAATTGTAGCCAATGAGTAAGTGCTGTATAAATGATTGTGGTTAACAATTTAATTGTCCTTTTTGTATGTTGTGTGCCGTCATTGACTGATATCTTGCTGTCAATACCTAGTAGCTCCCGAATGATGACAGGCACGTCTTGAGCTCAAATAAACACGCAGTACTTACCGCTGTCCTCTAAACATGTCCTCTAAAGCACCGGACAGCACTTTGATGTTTTGTTGTTAGACCCGTGATGTGGCTCATTAAAAGTATTTTCTTTTTTATTTACATGTATGTTGTAGAAAGAAATAGCGCCCATCTTAAATAATTGCTGTCAGCTCTTAGGATCAAAAGATGATGTAACAGTTGTGACAGGCTTAACTGTGTTACCTGTGTGTGTGTGTGTGTGTGTGTGTGTGTGTGTGTGTGTGTGTATGTGCGCATAAGTATGTATATCGCTGCATTTTGGAGATATGAGGTTTTCTTCTGACAAGAGATATGTAGTTTGTTTGTGTGTGTGTGTGTGTGTGTGTGTGTGTAACATTTGTAGAGTGTTACAAATGCAGTAAAATGAATAAAAGGCAGTAGACCACAGTTTCCTCCATGTGAATGTGCTACTCTTCTGGGCTACAATAAATATGTCGTTAATTTTTTTTTTTTTTTCAATTAATATATGATTTTGATATCATTGTACATGACTAATATTAAATCTTAAGGTTATTAACTGAGTAATAAGCCTAGATTTAAAGCAGTTAAAAGCATGTACTGAGGGGGAAAAGAAGCACAAAGCAGTAGAAATAAAAACTCAGGGAAGACAATGCCCCTCCTTTCCCAGGCTCTGTGGTGGAAGTGAGAGATAAAAATAGCAATGAAGAGTGTTGAAGTCTGAGAGAAAAAGAAAGCAGCCATTCGCTCATGAGAGGATGGGTTTGGTCTGCAGGCCAGTGGGACGGGGTTGTACCATCTGTCTGTCTGTCTGAGGGGAGTAGGCCAGTGACTATGGCTGAGAGTGGCCTTAGTGACTGACAAATCAGTGAGGCAGAGGAAGGCCCTGTTGTCTTGCCTGGACACCGGCACACAGCGAGTGCTACAGTCCTGTGCACCATATTCCACCTTAGCCAGAACCTGAGTCTAACTAGAGAGGTGGATGTTATTTTTTATAATATTTTTTAGTTTATTATAATGTGGAGTTAGACATGCTAAAACTTAAAGGAGAAGTAAACTTCATTAAAAAAATGCATCAGTTATTCAGTTATCAGATGGACAAAAATGTTTTTTTTTTTCTTTTGCTGCCTGCAAGTCTGTTCTGTTCAGCTGATGTGGCTTGGCTGACTCCGAGCTTGCTTTTAAAGACATCACCATAATTACTGTAATTCTCTTTTGTCTAAGAACAAAGGATCAGGATTATACCTTCAAGCCCATCTGCTGATGGAGCACACGTCTCTGAGTGTGTAGGTACAGTGAAGTGCTCTGATAGTAGTGTATTTGTAGTAGAAGACTGAAAAGATGTCTTTTAGTGATCTGGTTGAGGCATAGAATGGTGACCCTAAAAGGATTAGCATTTAGACGGCAGCCGCATAGGTCCATTTGAGGAAAGAATATATAAATATCACCTTATTCTGGTGCTGGTACTATAAACAATTTGGAACAGTTGTTTAATTGAGCTGTTTATTATTATTATTATTATTATTATTATGAAATACCACACATTTAACAATTGAGGATTTGTTATGTCTTGGAGAGTTTCCATTTGTCCCAGAGGGAGTGACAAAGCTTCAAAGCTTTAATCTTGAACATTCCACTGAAATTAAGAAACAGATATCCTGCCATTTCAGATGGCATTTGCTAGTGTGGCAGCTAGCGAAGGCAATTTATTGCTGCACATATAAATGACGTAAAACCATGCTAAAAGGAGGAAAACAGGTTACATTTTACCTATGAATTTCAGAGCTATTATCAGTAATAGTTGTGAAATTGATTGGTGGTCTCAGCTTTAGCTAGTCTGTTCTAATGAAGCTTATAATCTCTCACACTGATTGTAGCAGTTATTGAAGTCTTTCTAAAACATCCATTCCAAAATCTATTCTGTCCAGTTGCTGAAGATGCAACAGTTTTTCAGAATGAGAATCCAATCTTAAATAAGGACACAGTCATAATCTGCTTAAGCATCACTCTGATGTAGCTTAAGATTAATGCAAATAGTAAGCAGCTGAACATGTCCAAAGTAGTAAATAAACATTTTAAACTGAATTGATAGGTTATTATGGTATTAAAATGTCAGGACACATTTTAAGGGAGTAAACTGCAAAAGTCATTGGCGTGTCTGTGTGTTTACTCGCGGTACAACCAAAGAGACTCCTGTACTCTTAGTAATGTTACACCAGCAAAGTGATGTACTGTATCAAGATCATACCCAATATGAAAATGTAATATGATCAAGCTGTTTTTGAAATTGTTTAAACACATTGTTTACTTGCTTGTGTTCCAAAACATTTACGTATAAACAGGCTAGAAATGTAGTAAAATGTGTGAAAGGTCTATGGCTGTGTGACCATGTGCTCATTAAGAAGTTTATTGTATAATTACTTAGGAATTTCCTTGTTAAATTTTTGAGTGGGGCTAACTCCTTCATTGCTCCTGTATTTAGCAGTTTGGGCAAACTACTTCAAATCTCTGCCTTTCTCCATTGTTACTGGTATTCTCTCTGATGCCTATGATTTTCTCTCTGACTGCTTTATGGTCATAAATTTATACTGAAATTAAAAAATGAAATTAAAAAATAATGAACATTTACTGGCTGCATGTTTCATTACAAAGAGAGCATAATTATGCCTGTTTTATTAGATTTAGTGCAGCACTGTATGTGAAATGTTGAATAAAAATTCCATTTTTTTTCTGTATCGCCCATCCCCTCTCTGCCCTGCTTATTCAGTTTTTGATCAAGCAGTGGAGTGACAGGACCAGAGGCTTATGATAGAATCAGTACTTGTCATTTGCACACATTTTCTGTTCATGTTTATTAATCTTTACTCATTTGTTCTTTTTTTTTCTCCCCTAGTTGGCTCTGCTGGGAATGGACATTTTGTCTGCTTTAGTGACGAGATTGCAAGACCGTTTTCGGACCCAAGTTGGAACAGGTAGTCAAATATATTTAATGTAAAGAAAAAAGATGTTTGTGTCTCTGTATGAACTGCTATACAAGGAGTTATGTCTACTAGATGTGTATTTCCTCTTTCTCATGTGACTAACTGCAGAGTATTGGTTATTTACATGCTATTTTGTCTGCTTGCAGTTTTACCTAGCTTGATTGATCGGTTAGGTGATGCCAAAGATCAAGTCAGAGACCAGGACCAGACACTGCTGCTGAAGATCATGGACCAGGCTGCTAATCCCCAGGTAGCTAAAATTATGAATAACGCATGAAAGCATGAACCATGCTCATAAAGTGGGGAAAAAAGTGCCCAAAGGTGAATTTTCACAGGTATGCATGTATGAGCATTGCGTATGAGCAGAGAAGCATGTTTTTTGTAATCTCTAGCATTATTATAGCTGCGTCACTAACTATGACAGTGTACAGTTTTTAGGTTTTGGTTATCTGAAAGAGGAATATCCCAGGAGATTAGTTAAAGAACAGATTTCACTTAGTTGATAGGCAATTTTCCAGGCTCAGAGAGGAAGGAGTTGTGAGATCCTTAATAAGATTAGCAGACATTAAATTGAATTAAAGCAAATGCATTTGTCTGATTGTCCTTGCAGCATGTTTGGGACAGAATGCTGGGAGGATTTAAACACAAAAACAACAGGACCAGGGAAGGAGTCTGTCTTTGTCTCATTGCAACACTAAACACGTAAGTCTCTGTAAAATGGACACTTTCAGTAATTTCTTTTAGATGCAGCACTTTAAACTGCTACCTGTGCTACCTTAGATTTTAAGACATAATATGGATTTATAAATACTGGCAGAATTGATCACAAAATACGTTCAACTTGTTAAGACAAATATTAATAGTAACTGCAGGTTGCTGTAATGTTGTTTCTTCATTGGAGGATCAGTAGATAGACCTGTTTATTCTCCTTGATTTACTAAATCTAATCCACACACATTAATGTGTCTCTTCTGTTTCAGATATGGTGCCCAGGGCCTAACCCTTAGCAAAATTGTACCACATATATGTAATCTGCTAGGAGACCCCACAAGTCAGGTATGTTATATTTTATAATGTGCATGTTAGTTTGAGCATAAGCAAAGGACATCAGTATTCCCTGTTTTAAAATAATGACTCAAAGATTATTTCAACTTGCATCATGTAAGATAATCTTCTTCATATGGTCCATTAAAAATCTAAAGCATTGGCTTTGCCTTTGTTCCCAGAATCTCTTTCTGTTCTTCTTTAGTCCACTGTGCCCCCTGGTGGTTGTTTGAGCTAGTGACCCTGAAAATATATCTTGACAAATTGTGTGTACTTTGCATGCGTTAATATGTGTTCAGTGTTTTAATTTAAAGCAAGTAATCTGGTTGCCTTAAAATGTTGAGTTAACTGAACTTCAAACATAATTCAAGAGAATGTAAAACTCTCAAAATTAATTGACTATCAGAAGTTCAGTGAACTCAAAATTTAAGGCAAGTTCAAACATCAAATCGTTTTTTAGTGTTGCAACTTATATAAGGAAATAAAAGACTTGAAACAGATTCTAAGAATGAATGTTCAAAAAATATCTGAAAATGTTACCAAATTTTACCATGATTGGTATGAAATACTAAAATGATACCTAAACTTTGTGCATATGAACTAAACCAGAATAGTCTGCCAGCCAAAAATATCCAGACTCCAGCGGTCCTTTGGTCAGAAAATCACCACCGATTTAAATAAATTAGACATTGATACATGCCATATTTGAGTTTGTTTGTGCTATTTTTCTGTGGAAATTATCTTAATTTTCCTTTTTCATTTTTAGAGGTAGAACTCTAACCTTTACAACAGATACAAACAGGGTTATGTTCTGTATTACCGTATTTATTTTCTGATAAGTGCTTTGTACTTCATAAATGTTTTAGAAACGTACCGAATCCCTCCTCTGTGTCCTTCCAGGTGAGGGACAGTGCCATGAATTGCCTTGTGGAGATATATAGACATGTTGGAGAGAGGGTGAGGGTGGACCTCAGCAAAAAAGGATTGCCACAATCACGGTGAGATAGGCCTTTCAATCTGTGCATGCATCTTTTGCTCTCTGGTTTCTTTTTGTAAATTTTTCTCTTGCATTCATACAAACTACATACCACATCGCTGCAAAGTCAACTTAAACACCCTTCCACTGAATCATAAACAAGTGGATCACGTTTAGATCAAGTTTTCTTGTAGTTATGGTATATTGAGCCAAGTTGGACTGCATTCAAAGTATTGAACATCAGTGTTATTTTCCTCTTAATGCACCCGTTTTAACATTTGATTCTTGACAGATGCTCATATCATTCTTGCAGCATGAGCTGCTGCTAATAAGGGCTGATGAGTGATAGAAGAATATTGCATTTAAAAATGTATTTTGTCACATGGACCATGGAACATATTCCGTTAGTGGGGCCAGGCGTCACCAGCCTGATTAGTTATAATCAAATCAGTACAGAATTAAACTAATCGATCATTAAAAAAACGACACACCGCAATCTAACTTTTGGGGCTAATGAAGGCCAACGTGAAAGTGACTGAGTGCTTGTATGTATCCATGTTTTTCACCAAACAACAAACACTTGTGTACAATTTGATGCACTCTTACTGCTGCAATATGAAATAGACTGAACAAGTTAATAAGATACAAAAAACTAAACACTGTGGGTTGGAGTAAATAAACTAGATATGAAAACAGCCTTAGAAAAACAGTGATGTGACAGGATAGCCTGAAATTTCAGCAAAAACATCCAGTCCAATATCTGAGCCTTTTGAGAAGTGCTAATTTGAAGCTTGGAATGGGGCCCTATATCACAACTTTTGAGTTTTATTGGCTGCTATGATCCGCTCCGAAGAAGACATGCTCCCAGCCTCTGGCCAACACTGATTTTCAGTGGCAACTTTTGTGTGACAGCTGGAGTCTGAAAATAAAACCCCTAGGGACGTGTGAGTCGTCCAATCTCTCATGCCGTTTGGTGTTTGGTAAAGGGTTTGCATGTTCTCTCTCTCAGCTTAATTGAATTAACTCTGTACACCAGCACTGTAATGGTAAGATTAGCTCCTCTGCTCTCTGTACTGAGGAACAGCTGTGTCAGGGCTAACACATGCATACTGAGAGGAAATCCAGTCGGAGTGATTCATAGCTGATTCATGCCCTTTGAGCTGTAGCTTTTTGACAGGCACTTGTGAGATGTCTGCCACAAGGGACTATGTAATATACGAAATAATTAGGTGTATTTTATTATATAAATAATTGTTTTTTTGTTTTTTTTTTTAAAGAAATTACAGTTATATTTGAAGTTATATTTCTAATTTTTGCCCTCCCATGTGGGAAACACATACAGATACACACATACAGATGTGGCCCAATTCAACCTAGACCTTATATTAAACCATTGTGTTATTTAATACGGCCCACTCCATATTAAATAATATAATGCTCAGCACTTTTTTTTTTTTTTATAAAACTCAACTTTTTTTTAAAGTATTTCACCTGTCGATTTGAAAATAGTTACTGCAAACCACATGCATTTGTGTTTCTTCTCTTTATAGTGACTTGTTTGCTAATAGCGCCTCCCTGCTGAAGAAACTATGTGCTATAAAGAAATAATTTTCAAAGCCATGTGATTTTATTTTTAAATGACAGACACATTCCATCGTTGATGCAAAGGAAGGGTAAAACAATACATGTAAATATTATTTGCAATCTGTTAAAATGTAAATTAGTCTTCTCTAGTCTCCTCTGTTTCTTTTTCACAAAATAGCAGTTCTTGTCTTTGAATCTTTGTTTTTGGCTTACTTGTCAATCATCATCAATTTGTGTTTACATAGCTTTATCACCCAGTTCTAGAAAGCTTGCTCAGTTATATATTAACCTGTTTATTTGTTTGTTTATTTATTTGTGTGGCCTGAGATGTTTATCTGTTGAGCTTCTTTTACCCTCCCTTTGAAACTGGGGTCAGCCTGAGGGGAGCGTCTGTTCCTCAGATCATGTCATTTGTGTTTATAAGGCTGTGAGAGAGGTTCTATTAGACTCTGCCTGGGGATGAAAGCATGATGCTGGAGTGGCTCTGTGATCAATTGTCTGTATGCCAGAATTTTTCCCCATTCACATTCAGGCTAGACTAGGGATGTAAATAAATGTAAACATACTTTTATGGAAGGAGAAAATGTCTGTGTTTGAGATTGTTGGTTTTATATTGAGTGAGTAGTATAAATATTCGTCCTTTTCACTTTTACTGCAAGACGAGCAGATTTTTCCATTGCAAGTGTGCCTTATTTTCAAAAGTTTAATACATTTTAAAAATGTAATGTTATATATATTTTTTTTTTCATGGAAAAATTCCTTGTCCATTGTTTTGTCGAAATCTCAAATTGTTACATTGCAAGTTACAACTGTGCAACATAAATCTTCTGTGGTGCAGTCTTACTTAAGCTATTTTTAATTGCTAATTTTAGATCCATTTAAGAAAGAAGAGCTAATAATTAGATTAGTGGCATTTTCCTGGTGGGTGCTCAGTCAGCTCAGCTCCATGCCAACCTGTGACCATGGTCTGTGGATCCAGTTCTAATCCTTTTACTGTAAGAGATTACCACACAATTAAGAAGGGTTGAATTAAAATGCTGAGTTCTTCTGCCCATATGTTCCATCAGAATCGTTTTTTTGTGTATCTAAGCCTGCAGTTACTATGCCATCCCTTTGTTTTAAAGTGGTGCCCAAACAAAAGATTTGGAAGACTTTAAAGGTGCCACAACAGTGGGAATGTGGAGTTAAAGAACCTGTCAAATTGACCGTACTGTTGTAGTGTGGTCCCTGGCACATTAAGGGAGAAGTAGATGCTAAATAATCTGATTTGGAGCTACACAGACAATTTGCATAGATTTAGTCAGGCAAAAAGAAATCTCTTTTTAAAAGCATTAGATTGTATAAGGGTTTAGCAATCAGCGTTGGTATGTATCTACCTCATTTACATTTAAAGTAAAAGAGGCATGTTGTACTGCTCACCAAATGTAAAGTATAGAGAAAAATGTGATTTGGACTCAAAAAGGCAAGGGCTCACTTCAGTAGTTCTCTAATTTTCAGACTCTTTGTGTCACTTGGTTGTGAAGACTTTAAGCAACTTTTTTGATATACACTATATGGCCAAAAGTACGTGGACACCCCTTCCAATGGTTATATACTGAAGAGCTCAGTAACCTTAAACATGACACTGTCATAGGATGCCACCTTTGCTACAAGTCAGTTTGGGAAATTTCTGCCCTGTTAGATCTGCCCCAGTCAACTGTAAATGTGTGAAATAGAAGCATCTAGGAGCAGCAACAGAACAGCTACGAAGCGGTAGACCACATAAACTCAGAGTGTGGCTGCTGAGTGCTGAAGCGTGTAGCATGTTAAAGCAAAAACAAACTAAAAAAGGCTATCCTCCACTGTGTCACTCAGTGCAAAGTTCCAGACTGCTTCTAAAAGCAACATCAGCAGAGCTAATTGGTTTCCATGACTGAGCAGCTGCATACAAGCCTAAGATCACTATGTGCCTTGCCAAAAATCAGCTGGAGTGGTATAAAGCATGCTGCTGCCAGACTCCAGGGCAGTGGAAAAGTGTTCTCTGGAGTGTTAAATCATGCTTCACTATCTGGCAGTCGGATAGACAAATCTGAGTTTATTGGAAGCCAGGAGAATGCTGTCTGCCAGAATGCATAGTGCCAGCAGTAAAGTTTGATGGAGGAGGAATGATGGTCTGGGGCTGTTTTTCAGCATTAGAGCTAGGCCCCTTAGTTCCAGGGGAGGATTATGTTAATGCGAAGATATTTTACACAATTACATGCTTACAACTTTTTGACAACAGTTTGGCGAAAGCCCTTTCCTGTTCCAGCATTACTGTGCTCCTGTGTACAAAGTGAGGTCCATAAAGACAAGAGCTCCATTGACTCACCACTCGTATGTGCATGGTCAGGAAAGAGGCAATAGTCAGGAGCATATTACTCAGAAGCACTTGCCCCCAGCAGGTTAGCCTCAGTGAGCTAATTGGCTAGCCATGCAAACATGCAAAATGTTTTTAAGAAGTTTGAGCGTGAAATACATAACGAGTAATTGCTTTGTTTGGCTATAAACTTGAAGCAGAACTGTGGTGAAATGCCTTTTTGTTCATGTTAGCTGTGTATCTGGCAGCAGTGTCTAGCCTTCTGACAAACAAAAGAAGAAGAGTTCGACCAATGGTAGTGCTGGGTTCATTCCCCAGGGATGACAAATGCGTAATGTCAGTCATTTCAAGAGGCTGCAAATCGACAGCAACACAGGTTTTATCCCTCTTGTTCACCCACCTCACTCAGTCTCATTGGTTCTACAAGGCAGGAAAGTGCTTTTTATTCCTTTGCAAAGGTAAACAAACTGGGGTGGGTGTGGAAAGTTGAAATTGTGAATTGAGTTAAGTTAATGCAGACCTGCCAACCTTGGGGAAAATGGGTAATGTTAATAATGTTAGCCAAATTTTACGGAATTTGCAAGCTAGTTTGCTTGTTCATCAGGCATTTATGTTGGCAAAGTAACGCTAAGTTATACTGTCTGAGTGTTGCAGACTGTTAAACGTGACTTTTCACATGCAAAAGTCATGTTGTGCAGCCCCACACAAACCCGCTCATGATCATTATTATTATTATTACTGTAATGAGAGAAGCAAATCATGGCTGGATAGAAAAAAAAGCAAATGTGTGTGCTGCAGAAATAACGTTACCTAGAAAGTAGGTGTGTTTGTGCGTGTGCGTGCATGCGCCTTACAGTTAAAATAAACATGACATCAGATGAGGAGGATGCTGACTGGAAGAGAGAGCAGTAGACCCTGTTGAATAACTAAACTTGATATGGCAGTGAGTGGAAAAATGACTGTGTGCAAGCGTTACTTTTTTCTTTTTTTTTTTTTTAATAAATATTGTTGTACTATTGTGCTGTGCAAAATATGTTCCCAAGGTTGGCATGTCTGTGAACACCTTTGGGATGAATTGGAACGTCTATTGCAAGCCAGGCCTTCATGAACATAAGTGTCTGACCTTACAAAAGCTCTTTAGACTGAATGGGCACAAACTCCCACAGACACACTCCAAAATCTTGCGGAAAGTCATCTCAAAAGAGTGGAGGCAAAGGGCAGACCAAGTCCATATTAATGCCCATGGTTTTGGAATGGAATGTCCAGCAAGCTCCCTTTGCCATGTAGTAAAAAAGGATTTTAATGTAGTATATTTAAATGTTTTAAATGTACCGTTCACTTCCCAGCCCATACAGTCCATAAATGGAAAGTAAGCTGCAAATCTAGCCAGTGTGTTTTGACTGTGTTATTTTTGTGATGTCATTAATATCCACCTAATCTGCTAGCAGTGGCTTAGATCTTACAATGAACAGTGACGTTATCACAAGTGTTTCAGCCTTGACTGAGGCATTTCGCAAGACAGCCAATCAGAACAGAAGTCATTGCTTATATCTTATACATTACTTAAACACACAGTAACACAGTCAGCCTGTTTAATTCTCAGCAAGACAGGTTGGAAAATGATTATGTTAAAAAAAAAAATGACTTTTTGGTACATAATACCACGCAAATGTCATAAGAGTATATAAAAATACAACAAATATAGGACATAGACTTTTGGACCCTGCCAGTGTGGCCATGCGATTTTTCTGTCTGTCAGGTGCTTTGTTTAGTGATATAATGCTGAGTGATGATGAAACCTTGGTACCACAGATTGTGTACGCTGTAGCTAGTACCCCAATACATATGGTGTGCCTCTTGTATATTTAGCATACTTTGAATAGATGAACTCTTTAACAGCACTTCCTGTGTCAGTCCTTTTATAATAGCATGAATATGTAGGAAAACCCCCTTTCCACCTCTCTGAACTGAACGGAAAACCTTTCTAATAATAGTTAAATCCTGTTGTCAGTAAGTCATAGGTGCTGTTCCATCCAGCACGGCAGAATAAGCTTGCAGAGAGTTTTACAGAGATTGGATAGATTCATCTCTCATACGCAGTGCCCTAGGGAAGTATGTCTGAGTCACTCATCTTTGATTGAGGCATGCTATGAGAGGGTGTAGGAGGAATTTTTCTGGAGGTGTCCAGAATGTGAATCTCTTGCTTTCAGGGTGCACACAGAGAGGGTTTGCTGCATACTGGGCCTACTTATTCAGGCTTGCATGCCATGCCGCTTAATATTTCTCAGCAGTGGCTGCTGACCTTCAACAAGGCTTTGACTGGTTGTCCTTGATGCTGTGATCTTAGATGTAGCCCCCTTTTGCAACTTGTAATCTCCATCATGCATGAAGTAGAGATGAAACGATATTAAAATTTCATATCACGATTATCATGACCAAAATTATCACGATTATCGCGATATTGTTCAAATGTGTTAAAGTAAAATAAATAAAAAAATAAATACTGATATACAAACTGAAATTCGTTTCACCAACTTTTATATTAACACAAATAGAATTGGCAGCAATATGCACTTTTTGTTTGCATAAACATAAAAATATAGTCAATACATTTGTTGTATTACTTTTGTATTACTTGCAATACTTGTAATACTCTGTGAACAAAAGAATAGCAAATGTATTATTACTGTTATTATTATTATTATTATTATTATTATTATTACTGTTATTATTATTATTATTATTATTATTACTGCTGTAATTATTTTATTATTATTATTATTATTAATAATAATAATAATAACAATTACAATAACTAGGGAATTCCCTGCATAGAGAATTAAATCTGGACCAACTCTGAGGTGGGTCTTAATGGAAAATTACTACTTCTAAGAAGTGTTGCACTCGGGGGATTTCTGTCCGAACTGCAATTGCAGCATTATTGTCGCTGTACTCCTAATCAATACAGTGCACCAGGATAAACAGCCAAAATCACAGAGAAATTGCATGACCGTGCTGTGAGCTGCAGACAGTGTAGAACTCACACAGTGTGTCTTCACCTGTGGAGCTGCTTCTCTAAAAGCATTTGAAAACTAAAACATAACTTAAAATTAACATGCATCTGAGCTGCGGCAGAAACACTCCTGAAGTTTAATCTCTGAAACTCTGCTTTTCCTAAAAGCAGCACAGCGTTTACTCACGCGAGGTCCCGTCTCAAAGCACACTATCTTCCCTATGTAGTGCACTTCGTGGATCATGAAATAGCAAATCCTTCACCCAAAGAGTGCAGGAAATGTTCGACTAAGTCATCTATAATCAACATTAACAACAGGTTACAAATTCCCTATTTAAACCTCAGCTGCTTGTTAATGATGATCGTGTTTGTTAGAAAAGTAGCGCACTATGTAGGGAACATTGAGTGATTTGAGACAGTGCTATTCTCTTCTCAGAAAGTAAACACTGCAAGCGAGACGAGAAAGGGGAGCTGTGCAGATTGAACTTTTGCAGCGTCTCGTTCCAGAGCTTGTGTGACTCTTAACTCGGAGCTCATTTTGGAGACGCTGCTCCACAGAAATGTGTGTTAAAAGCTTTAGTTTCGATTCACAGTTGATTGTTTTTTTTTTTGGATGCTAAAAGCTTCATTTTATATTATTAACGAACCATAAGCATAAGTTAAACCACACAAACCATGACATTTCTTCTATTTCAAAGTCCCCACAGACTTGTACGTTAAAGTTAACCTTGCATTCTCTAAAAAGTAGTAGGTGGTGGTCGCGAAGATGACTCGTAAGGTTGGATGTGTTGCCCCCTTTCGCCGCTATTTTCTTTAGGCCTGTTCTGCAGACAGGGTGGTCATCTTCAATTAACTTTCCTTCTGCATTCTTATAAAACCCAAAATATGACCAAACGTCAGACTTGGTCTCCTTAGAAGGCTGAAATATCTCCGAATCTCTGTCACTATATTCCGCCATGTTCTCCCTTCTCTCCCTCTCCCTCTCTCTCCCCCTCCCCCTTCCCCTCTACACACACACAGAGCTGCATCTGAGGGAATAAATCTGCCTTGTTTGACTCTGTGCAGCGAGTTTTTCACACCGCGGTAATCGGCCGCGGTTTTAACGATACTTTAAAGTTCAAACAGTACTACTAACCGTCATTAATTTTACCGCGGTTTACCGTGAAACCGGTAACCGTTTCATCTCTAGCATGAAGCCTAGTGAAGGCTCATCACTTCTGGCTGCCAAACTAATCAGAGTTGGAATCTGATTTTTCACTGTATTTTTCAGTGTGGTAGAAGACTTGATGCATTATGTGTAATATAGCGCAAGAAGAAAGTTTTCGTTATATAAGACAGCTGTAGTCATGTATGTGTTTTGTTCTTGATTCATTCATGCTGATTACAAAGACATGAGCCAGTTGGGATGAATAAAAGGAGCAAAGCAGTTTCCCATATTTTGTTTTATCTGGGCATATGATGCCCCCCCTTTCTCCCTGGGTTTGACCCCAGATAAGCCTGTGTACTACTACTACCTGGAGTAAAGCAGTTATTTAACTTGAAAGTTCTGCAGAAGCACAACAGGCTCATTCTAAAACTTTCAGATACAGTGTTAAAGCAGTAACAGCAGGTAAAGCAGACCTTGGTATACACTGTTCTTGCTGCACTGTTCAGAAACTGCATGTTGTATGTCTGTTTATGCAACATACCTGACACTAACCTCAGTCATATGGACGTCGTTCTGAGAATCAGCGGCCATGACGTTACAAAACAGGCTATTACTAGCATGCCTTTAAGCTGTGCCGCTATAGGTACTAGCAGATTTGTGAAAATAACTGTTGTTCGGGTAGTGATTGCAGTTCACTGAAATACAGAGAACAGATATAAAGGCACCTCTTTGTTGTGTTATTGAAGAGCAAATTAACCCATTCTATGTTTCTCCCTTTGTTTTTCAGATTGAATGTAATTTTCAGCAGATTTGATGAAGTCCAAAGATCTGGGAACATGATCCTCTCTTCTGGCTCAGGTAAGACAGGGGGGATGTTAACAATATGGCTTATAGACTGTTTGCTTTGAGGCTCATTGGAATAAATGAGCTTTTAGTTGTCCATTTGTGCTTCAGTTATTTAAAAGGCTTTTAGAGAAGCTGAATTAAATTGAATGCAGGTTTGATCACGCGAAGTGCACATAAGCTCTTGAAGTCCTGTCTGCAACATTGATCACTAAGATAACTGAGTCATACAGGGATTCTTGAGTTACAGAACTTTGCAGCTTGTCTTTAGGTTTTTGGGCATGGTTTCCATGTGGCATGTAAACCCAGTAAATGTACAGTTATTTCTGTGAAGAGATATGAATGAACACTACTACAGTGTAGTACAGGGAGCTCATGTTGGATATCTAGCTTCCTTTCTTATTTCAAGAGATGGATTAAACACCAGATTCTTGGCATGATTTGATGTTTCTTTTTCTTACCAAATTAGAGACGTCCCTTTTTTTTATCCCTTTCGAAGCTGATCGCGGCAACGTTCTCACTGAAAGCAATGTATGCAATATTTTGCATGCGAGCAGGGAATAAACTTGAATCTGCCGTCTGAGATGCTAAAATACCAGTACCAGTACTTGGATGTACTTCAAATAGGGCCATAGGTTATTTCCTAGACTCAAGGTCATTCTCCTTCTCTCTGATAAGGGTGTGTGTGTATGTGTTTATTTCTCTGTCCCACATGTTTTGTGTTGGGCTGAAAGCCAGGGTTGCAGGCTGCTCAGTAGCTCAGAGCTCAGTAGTTGAGTTTGCCTACAGGAGGGTCAGTATGGGGCCTCATATGTTACATTCTCTCATCGCAGACTAAAGTAGTAGGTGAAAAGGCAAACAAGTACACATGGCATTCAGTTAATTTATTCAGGTGGCGAGCAAGTGGTCCATAATGCCCCCCCCCCCATTTTGTTCTTAACAGCATTGTGTTCAACAAAAATATTATTTCTATGGAATTTGCCCCTTTTTAGATGAAGATGTTTGGAAATAGATGATTCATATTAGTGATCCATCAAAATGAAATTCTTGGCCGAAACTAAAACCAAAATTCAGGACGCAATGTGCCAAAAACTGAAACTGAAAAAAGCTGACAAGAAATAACTAGAAGGGGAAAGTTTGTGAACAAACTCTAAGTTGGCTTGACAAAGCTCTTGCCATTAAATCTCAGCGAGTTGCTAAGGTGTTGCAGGGTCATTCCTGTGGTATCCCTGGTGGTTGCTAAGATATTGCTCAGCTGTTGCTTTGGTACTGTAGGTTGTTGCTAAGATGTTGCTAGGTCATTACTGTAGTATCCCAGGTAGTTATAGAATAATAGAACGAAGAACAGTAAGTTGGCTCAGTCAAGCCAAGTTAAAAGCTGGTTGCATAAAATGAACTTAGTAATATAATCACAGTCTGTAGGCTGATTCTGATTGGGTTGTTTTGCTGTTTTCTACAAATCAAGTGGGATATCGTGATTTCAAGTTGTATCAAGTCTGTCGTGGAGAAGTGCTTGGCTATTCAACCCTTGTTGGTACTCAACATGGACAGTAATTGCAAATCGCTTGTCTAGCACACTACACAGCTGACATCTTCACTGTTGATCTGCTAAGCTGTTTAAATGTGTCTCGAGCTGCAAAATTTTTAATCATTGTTTCTTATTTTTATTACCATCAAAGTTCTTTGTAAAGTCTTAGGTGGTGACACGTCGTTATAGGCATATTTAGTCTTAGTTTTTTGTCTTTTATTCAGTCACAATTTTTGTCCGTTTTATTCTTTTGGCCAAAGACCAAAAGTACCATTTTCAGCCAAATCTTTTTGGTGGCTGAAATTTTGGTGCGTCTATACTTCCTATCTGCCTTATTAATATCTTATTAGCTTATAGGCGATTAAAATCATTTATCAGAAGCTTGTTGATGCTGAATTTATTACATCTCACCACTGTATTTATTAGGGACTATGAGTGGCCTAAGGCTGCTGCCTCACCGCATGAGTGCTCAACTTTTGGCAAGCGCTGTTATTCTACACTCACACTTCTTTGACTGAGTTACTAAACACTTGTGATGAGCGACTTCCATTACAAGTGCTGTAGTTGTATATGTTCCCTCATGGTTGCCAGGAGACCAGTTTTGTGTCATAAATCTGGAGGATCTGCTTCATTTTCCAGTTTTGAAGAGCAAGCGTAAGCCTGAGTAGCTCTTGCTTACTCTGTATTGACCTATATAGTAAGAAAAAACTCTTAATTGTGGTAGCACAGACCACTCTGAAACCAAACTGAATGTGAGGGGCATGCGTTTACTGAAATTGTGTAGCCACTTGACTTCCAGTATTTTTCTGTATAAAGCATCTTAGTGTTGCAGTTGTGAAAGTTTAATAACATTCTGTAATAGGAAGTGTCTTTCATTTGTTAATATTCCATGCACTTATAAATCTGCTGTCCTAGGCCTGGGGCATCCGGACATTTTGCTTCCTGTGGAGAAGTGCGGGCAGTGTTTTGCACACTGATACATGCTCACCCTCCAGGCGCTTCTATACACTTTATATAAGGGAGCAAAAAGAGAGCAGACAGACGAAATTACTGTTTACGTAGCAATATAAAATTCTGGCACGTTGTAGTCGTGGCTCCAGCCTTTTGTTAGAGGAGTGAGAGTAGGGTGGCTTTTGTCTTGGGTGCAGTCACAAGACTAGAGCAGTAGGAAGGAAAGAGAGGGAGGGGGACAGGAGACCATAGAGATAGTGAGAGAGATAGAGAGCGAGAGAGACTGTGAAGGAACTAGGGCAGCGCTTTCTTCGTGTTCTCTCTGTATGAGTGGCAAAGACGCTTACACTATGACAACAGGGGAAGGTAAGGATCAGAAAAGAAAACCCTCTTTAGTTTCAAGGACAAATGATAAAAGGAATGCCTGGCAACTAATCTTTGAACTCTGCCCAGCTCTTCTGAATCAGTGTGCATGTTTTGGTGGAAAGGTGGTGTTCTTAATGTTAACACGTCAGTGTGTTAATTCTGCAGTCTGCGTTTTTTCCATTGGTCTCAGGAGTCTTACTTCAGGGCATGTTTAGCCTTCAGTCATTTTAAGCAAGGAAGAGGATTGTGTTAGAGGTTCGATATACCCCATATAAAGGGCCAGCTGTGCTATCTGATTTGGAGTTGATCGGAATAGTTTGTTCCCTCTTTAAGTGACCGTTTCAGCATTGCAGGATTTCCTTGCTTTTCATAATCTGGCAAAGGTTCTGCAGATGAACATTTCAGTGCATGAAGAAGAATCGTTCATGTAAGATCACAGTGTATTGAACTAGATTATTATTGATCACATTTATGTAAGTAATAATGAGGTGTTAAAGGTTATTTGTCAGTTAGTCTTTTATATCGGATGGAATTTTAAGCCTGTTATGCATTTCTATTTTTGATGCGGAACTGTGTCAGCTAGAACAGCTAATCATGCAGTTCTGTTGCCAACTCATATCTCTGATAAATGGAGAAGACCTTTTTCAAGGAGTTTTTGAACCAACCAAAATATTTATTTTACAAAAATAACTGCAATCAACTGTTAAAAACACCAACAAAAACAGAACTGACTGTAATTTGTTTCTAAAGGTGTTTAGGATGTAATAGACATATCATGCATTCATGTGACGTCATCCTCTGCACCTCCCTAGGGATGCCTCGATACTGATACTAGTATCGAGTATCGGCATGAATCCGTGCTCGTTTACTCGTACTCATAAAAAGGCACCAATACTAACTCTGTGTGTGTGTGTGTGTGTGTGTGTGTGTGTGTGTGTGTGTATGAAAAACTGCTTAGATTTAAATAGGCTATGGTATGGTATCTAAATCGTTATCTGTGAGTACTAAATACTGTTCTGCTTGGTCTGACAAAAACAGTAGTGAGATGTATCACTGTTCACTGTAATGCCTCACTACACCTGACCAATGAGAACAAACCTCTGGTGAAAGCGGTCTCCATTGCCTCGTGTTCTTTGCAGTTATTCTTTTATATTTCTGTGGTCCACTCTTCTTATCTCCTGCTTTCAGTCATCGCCCCCTCCTTTGTTTTGGACTGGTTTTATTTGCCTTCTCTTTGTCTCCCTCTCTTTGTCTGTTTTGTCTGGAATTGATGAGTGGAATGTTAAACAGACTCTATTGCTGTCTATTTTGGGAAGGACCACATACAGTTCAGAATTATTCATTGCACCACCAGCGAAAACTGCTTGCTTGTTTTTTTTTTGTCTAAAAAGTAGAGATGTGCTGAAATTGCAGCCACCAAAAATTTTACTTTGAAGTTTGTTAAAAGTGACTCTCTCAGTTTTTTGACCAAAAGAGAAAAAAGCAGAAAATTTTGACTGGAAAAAGCAAAAAAGGCACTAAAAAAGGAAATGTGATGAAATGTGAATCTTAATCACTTAACAAATAATTTTAAATGGTAATGAAAGTGAGAGATAGTGATTAATTAAAAAATGCAATGTTTTCCCTTCGATCTGAAATGTGCTAATAGCACCCTTCGCTGGAGAAAGACTGCTTGGTGGGAGTTCCAAAGCCACAAATCCTCTCTGTCACAACAAAACCTCATATCTCCAAAACAGGAACTTTACAGGAGACGGAAAAAACCTTTTCAGCTTTGAACGAAATTGAATGGATCAAGATTTTATTTTTGACCATTTTTACCATTTCTATTGGCCCATTCATCAAGAAATTTTAACATAATGTAAAAGGCTGTTGCCATTTTAAAGTTTGTTTAAAAATATAGAAGAAGAAGATGACGAAATAATTAACAAAAAAAAAAAAACAGTAACAAAAAAATGGATGGTGCTGAGTAACAGTTAACTGTGCTATGGCTATTGCAGACTTCTAGGACTTCAGTGACTCTGTCAACACAAAACAGGTAATAATATATGACTCTGCAACAGTGTGCAGAGGAGGAGGAGGGATTTGGGTGGTATAGAGAAGCTGAAAACACAAAGATAGATTTGCTGTGTATGTTCTACTATTATGTAAGAGCATCTCTTTATTTCTGAGC